CTCCTGACGTGAACCCCATCGAAAACCTCTGGGCCATGCTCGACCGGCAAACCAAGAAACAAAAAAAAAAAAAACAACTTCGAAGAGCGATCTACTCCAAGTTTTGAAGCAAGAGTGGGAGAAAATCCCACAATCTAGAATTGACGAGATGATTCTCACGATTCCCCAAAGGATCAACGAACTCCACGAAGCGAAAGGAAGGTCTACTAGATATTAATTACATTATAAATATATCAATTAATGTGAATATGACTGAAAATGTTCATTTTTTTTCTGAAAAGGTGGTGTCTATTTACCTGTGACCACGCTGTGTACAATCTCGCCCGTGACTGAAATGTACCACACTGGGTGTATGGAATAAAGACTGGCTTCGCAGAGTCTGTTCCATACCGTATGTATAACCTTGCTATCAGTAAAATGTATCTTACTGAATGTATGGCACATGGAATTGCGTTGCGGGCTCTGTTCATTATTGTATTTATAACCTTGTTATGTGTACAATATTTCTCACTGGGTGTCTGGCATGCTATATGTACAACCTTATTATGTGCACAATCTATCTCTCTGTGTACTACCTTGTGTAGTCTATTCCTTACTCTATATGCAACCGTGACATGAGAGGAATGTATCTAACTAGAAGTTTGGCGTAAAGAGAAGCTTTATGGATTCTGTATGTACAACCTTGCTGTGACTAAAATACATCTCACTGGTTGTATAGAGTAAAAGACCCACCTTGTGGAATCTGTTCTTTACCGTATGTACAACCTTGCTGTGACTAGAAAACATCTTATTGGTTTTGTGGCATGAAAGTCCCACCTTGTGGAGTCTGTTGCTTACTCGGCCTTACTGTATGTACAATCTTGCTGTGACTAGAATACATCTTTCTGGTTGTATAACATAAAAGACCCACCCATCTTGTGGAGTCTGTTTCCTTACTGTATGTACAACCTTGCTGTTACTAGAATACATCTCGCTGGTTATATATCGTAAAAGACCCACCTTGTGGAGTCTGCCCCTTACTGCTGTAGACACTTAATGAAACGTATTTTACTTATGTCAGAGTTGGACACACAGAGACCTTTACAAGGCTGGTCTGTACGCCACACACACACAGTAAGATACATTTAAGACAAAACAAGGTTGCACATATAGTAAAGAACTGACTCCACCAGGGTGGTTTTCATGCCACAAAACTAATGACATGTATTCTCGTCACAACAAGGTTGTACATACAGTAAGGAAACAGACTCCACAAGATGGGTGGGTCTTTTATGTTATACAACCAGGAAGATGTATTCTAGTCACAGCAAGTTGTAGCGTAATGACGACATTGTGAACCCTGTTTCTCACTTTATGTACTCTGATATTCGGATGTGAAAATCTGATCCATTCTTATCTTACGATTAATATTAGTGTTTAGGATGACGTTCTGCATTGGTCAAGTGTTCGAGCGTTTTAACCGATGTTATGTGATTCACCGGCTTTCGATCTAAATAAAACCTATAGACATCTGTTTTTGATGTTTAACTATGGTTTGTGAAAAATTTGAAGCACAGTGATTCACTTGAAAATAACAACCAAACCAAGATTGCCCGAGACTGCTATACATATGTGTGTATTTATTCATCATAGACATAAAGACCAATTATTCGAATTTTAGATCAAATGATAAACATCATTATATAACGGTAGTTTTTGCCTTGTCAATGTTATAATATCATAAATTTCGATTATTCTGTAATTGTTTTGTTTCGGTTTTTAAACAAATTTTTCTTTTTAGTGGGCAGATCAGTTTAATCATAGAGCTTATAAAAGGAATAAAACAGCGAAAATAATTGTTTAGTGTTTAAATGTTTCATAGAGTTTAGTCGTAAAATTTAATTTATTGGTTAGAATCAGTAGTCATTTTTTTCTTTTTTAATTGTTACATTTTCTAACCAACTTTTAGTCATACAAACTTCAGTATTATGTTTACAAATCTAAAGAAAAAACTTTGTAATTTACACAACACATGTTTATAAGTATCCAAAATATTAAACCTTTTCGTATTAGTAATTGGTTTGTTCTTGGTGAAGGCTCTTGAAGCTTCTTAACGAACGTTCTCTGGAAAAACTCAATGAAATCTGGTGGGATAAAAACCCTGAAAAAGTTAGCTGCAGTAGTAGCGAAGCACAAGTTGATGGAATTGATATAAGCAACGTTGGTGAGTTTATTCAGGCTTTGGTCTACAAAAGATAGATATTTAAATGATTTCATTTTATATAAAACGACACAACTAAGCATATTGTACAAATTTATTTTTAAAGTATTTAAAAATAAAGTATAAATTATCGAAGTGAAATCTTCAGATTCTCTGGAAATAATGAAGTTTATTCACGTTCCTTATTGATTATAAGTTATACATTGTTTTTATACAAGAGACAAGAACAACTTGAAGAACATATCCATTACTAACTGGTTTTTAAAAAAATGTTCAAATACTATTCCTATATAAAGTCGCAAATTTGCAAACACATAAAGTATACCACTCATGTCAAAGGCTGATGAAACTTCGTCAAGGTAACAAGATACTTACATAAACAGACATTTAACTGGAGAGGAACACTTAAATTTTCATCATAGATATAAAATCACTGTACACATCTATCCCACACGATGAAGGTTTAATTTTGTAAAACAATTTTTAGACTAAAGCCCTATACTTGACCCTCCAACACACACACACACTTCTATTTTTATCACTTTTAATGGTAACTATCATAAACAGATCTGTGGGACCGCTACGGGTACAAATAACGCCTTCACTTTTAATGGTAACTGTCATAAACAGATCTGTGGGACCGCTACGGGTACAAATAAC